GTGTTTCGGGCGCCGCGCCCGACTTCGACATGTCTTGCGTTTTGCCCATTCGCGCCCATCCGAGTGTGTCTTTATTTAATGCGGGATATTCGAGTGCGTAATTAGAAAGCCCGAGAGAGCTTCCAGTCTCAGATAGCAACGAGATTAGGACGTCGTAAATTTTTAACAGTCCGTCGCGTTGCTTCCACTCTTTCGCGTGCGTCCCTTGCGTTCCATGACGTGTGCCGCTATCTTTATACGCACGCTATGAAGAGGTTCTTTTTTCCTTCCCTCGGCGTTGCCGATGTGGAAACGAAAAACGCGCGTGTGTACCGGGCGCAACATCGGTTCGAAATAGAAATGTAACTCTTTTCGGCGACGCACGAGTTCGAACGCGAGTAAAAAGTGGGACTCTTAATGCCTTCTTTTATCGTAATTGAAACTGTCGACGAGTGTTGATAGCGCGAGATTTATGGACGCCATCAATAATCATGTCTTATTTCATAATTTCCATGCCAGCCGGCTAAGGTAGCCGCGGCAATACAAGCCAAAGTGATACATTTCGGTATTATCGCGGGTATAATGTGACTTGAACTTCTTGGCTCTCGCCTGCGGACGAGCCATTTGCTTGAGGGGCTTTAAATTTAAATTATGTATATTTGTCTCGCGACATTGCAGCAGCCGAAGATTGATATTTAATCCGCATTCTCAGCATATCGAGAAATAAATAAATCTTGTTTACCTTTTACGCTTTGTTTTGTTTCGGCAATCTACAATATTTGTAAATCGTGCAGTTTCCAATAAATAAATGCCATACATTAAAATGAACGCAGCTCAGCACGTCTTGTGAATACGTAGAAGCACTGTCACGAATGAAAGACGATTAAGAAACCTCAACTGAGCTGTAGCTCGCCGCGTCAAAAGTGTTTTAAACTGAAACTTTTCAGTTTATTCCGTATAAAGATGTGACGAATGTGTGCTCGTAGGAGTCGTTGGCGTACAAAGCAGAGCGCGCGACGCATTAAGAAAGTGATTAATTCTAATGTCGCTGACGTTCTAGTCAACTTGCCTTCATGCTTCCCGGCTTCTATAGTCTCGACATCGCCGACAAAACGTGTTTAAACGGAATAGAACGACGACATCGTTCAGAATAGCGAAAAGCAGGCGTATAATAGATTTGTGTACAGGGTGGGTACCCGACAAGAAGTAAGGGCATCATAGAAATTTAACAAAGCGCTGAATAATTAAATACGATGAAAAGTTGTGGGTTGAAGAGCGGTGTTAAACAAGTTATAAAATATAATGCAAGTAGGTATAATATCCACTAACCTCGAATTGTGCCGTACCCGCCGCATGGCTTGAAACTGCTCGGATCTGCATGGTTCTTGAACAATCAAAGTGTTGCAAACTAGACACTGGTCATCCGAGACACGCAACTAGTCAATAACGTACAGCGATAATGAGGATTAATCAATGAGTTTGTCAGCAATTAGAAAGTATAAATTGTATTTCTCGCGAGAATTCCACGACACACTACACCACAGCGCGCTATATTGGTACTAACCTGCACATTTTTACGCGGCGACTTGCAATATTCGAATAGCGTCTTCTACGTATGATAAGACATATTTCTCCTCGCAGGTAAACAACAAACATCCGGATCTTTTTTGTCTTACTTTATTTTTAAATGTCGTTTCTGGTTTAAAACGAAAAGCGTAGCAATTCGACCGATTTTGTCCGATGTGTTAAACACGATATCGGCTTGTACGACAGGCACAGAAATTCAGCGGGCGGTTAAGGCACGCGGGCGAATATTAATTGACGCGCGCCGCTTAATTTCAATCAATTACATCGTTTAAAAACGTATTATTAAACAATGTATCAAACATGTCAAGGAATTAATTGGTGATAGATTGACAACGGCGATAAAAGCCGCGACTGCGGCGGCCCGAGCGGACGTGAAGAATAAAAAGTGAAGAGCCCACAAGAAGGACGAATCATCCGTGCCCACATACGATCGTTGCGGAAGATTACTACATGGCATGCTTTACTTCGCTCTGAGAATAAACCTTTCTCAACATGAACAACTACAATGTACTAGGGCTAGAACAACAAGCTATTGTCTCGAAATTAATAAAATTAAGAAAAATAAATTTATCTTCTGTGTGGGTGGATGTGACAGGTATAAATAAATGATATGATGTAAATTTAAATGTCTGTAAGTAGTTCTTACAATAATATCAATAGTATCTATGTATTTAGTTCATTTGGATGAACCGTCTTTGGAAGTAGAAGCGTGTTCTCAATAAAACCTCTCGTTGTAGTCTTGGATTCGATCGCAACATGTTGCGACAAAACAACGCCGCACATCGATAAGATCTTGCCGGCATTTATTCTATGCTTTGAACGTAAGTGGAAGCACAAAGCTGGACAATGCATTAATTAGTCCTTTATAAATAAATCTATCTTGATGTTCGTAAATGTTGCGATCGAAAGCCATTTTTCGTTGTTTTCTCGCTGGTTTTACATAGAGGATGCTTTCACAACTGCCGGCGAGCGAAATTACCGTAGCCAACGTCGACACAAACACGTAAAACAACGACGTGCATGAACAATGTTCGATTAGTGTAGTCGGTTGTTGAAGAGTCAACTCGACAAGCTGAGCATGTGCGGTGAAGCGCAGCCGAACCCCAAGTGAAAACGCTGTTTACATGCTAGACTAAATATGTCATTAAATATAATGCGATCATCGTTTACCTGAACAATTATCTCCAGATCGCATCTCAGCGTGCCGATGTACTGGCCCTGTCAGGTGCGTGAGGCTTATGAAAGGAAGCGAGGCGCGAATGAGTCTCGAGCGCTGATTTCATCAATTTACAACAATTTCATCAGGAAAAACGCTTGTTAAATCTATATTGCACTTGATTAAACTTGAATTTAATTCATTTTATATATAGATTTCGTTTTATTCCGCGTGCTTTTAACGAGCTCCGTAATTGTTGTAAATTTCATCAAAATACTGTTTGCAAGTAGCTTGCTGTGAGTTGCACGCGCGCACACTTGTGGCAATGTACAATGAACACGATTGCTTAATTAGTACAGATTTAACCACACGTTAGAGCGCAAAGGGCGCGCATATTTTTCGCCGGGAGCACGGGACGGACGTGCGACTGAGTAACATATACGAAACGGTCTGTCTGGACACGATTTAATCTGTTTGTCGGTAGGTTGGTGGTTGGTTTGGCGTGTGTGATAGCTGGCCGATTGAGTCGTAGCTTTCGTGCCACCTTGTGTTCCGTGTCTGCGGGCTATTTCCGTATTCGACTGCAGGGATCGGTCCATATTTTATGTGGCGTAATAAGCTAGATTAGATCTGCCCCGTTCCCGCTTCGTCGCCGAGACCAGAGTGCTTCATATATGTGTGTTAATAATGCAAACCGTGCTTGCTCGATATGAACAGCGAGCAACGTGGGAGAAGGAAATCCGCAAGCCTGCACCCTAAAAAACCTTCTTGGATAAGGTGCTAAGTGTCATAGTTGGAGCATGATATCGGAACGATATCCGGCTCTGCTGCAGTCTGGGTGTAGGGCCGTGCAACATGACATAGTAAACTGGGGAGTGGAGGAATGGATGCAACGTGCATGTTTTATTTATCTCCTTATCGCGCGCTTGTAATGAGATACTCGCTCGTTTTATCACACCATTATGTTTTGATCTATGGCCCCTTTTTCAGCATGTAATGTACCCCTCGTTGGTATGGGCCTGATGCCTTCACTACTGCTGGTCGTATTGCTATGTAGTAGCGTTTTTTGCGGGCTTGTCGACTTCCCTTTTCGATGTATTCAACTTATGCTTGCTTCTAAGCAGCATAACAACTTTATAGGGTTCCATAATGTAACGTTGTCTACTTTACCAGAGACCTGGGTAAGATTGGACCCTATGTCGGCTATTTCCTACTGTGCTGTTACCCTTGCTTGCCGTGGCGATGAAGCAACCAAGTCCATTAAAACATCTGTGTTAAGGTACAGACCTTAGAGTTATGCGCCTCTGGAGAGCCCTTCGGGTCTAGCCTCTAGCCCGAGCCGACACCTAACAAGATGCCATTGCAATGCGGAAAGGGAGACCGCGTAGGATGACGTCACGGTCAAAAATGGGGATTAGGATTCATCTCATGGGATCAAAATGAAAGCCGGCCAGATGGATGCCGCCCCACAGCAACTATGGCACACATGCTGAACACTAATCGTGGACGTGGATAGAAGGACAGTGGGAGCATTAGACGTCGGAAGATAAAAATAAGATGGAGGAACAGACGCTTCCTAGTCCATTTACGCCAAGTATTGTCAAGCAATCTCATGAAAGGAAAAGAAACAGGAATGAAGGAATGGGAACAGAAAAGAGAAAACAAAGTGTGCCACTCTAGGCCTACTTTAGCCCACGCTTGCCCGTTGAGAAGACCCGCTGATTTCAAGACCTTGAAGTTACGTCTTGCTGTGACCACCACCACATGATGTCCTTGCCGCGGCGCGCTAAAACCTCTCCAGCATCACCCGTCTCGACCTCGTTCTGAGCTTAGACGTCATCGAAATCTCTTCAAGCACCCACTAAGCACTGTAACCTATTTGTTATGAGTAACGCCTATGCGTTAGGTTCCCAACATCGCGAAGCGGCAGCGGCTGGAATACTAGTGGTCGAGAGCAGACGGGTGTTGAAAACAGCGATGAGAGCGGGAGACAAACTTTCGCAAGACAAGCGTTTCATCTTCGAGAACACGATCAATTAATAAAGTTGCTCCCACGTCCACTACTTGGACATTTTATGTTATGCTAACGTAAAAAATATAGGAAACAACCTTAATTTCCACGTAATGGGTTAATAAATTGCAGTCGAATGAGGTCAATCTTTCTCTGAAAGAAAAACCACAAACCCACGTACACCCACATTGTACACCCAGCCTAGTAACCGAAAAGTTACTTGGTGGAAGGACTGGAAAATAAAATGGTACCTATAAATAAAACGCATTTGCTTCACGAATAATAATTATATATTATTATGTACATTTAGCCATGGAAGTGACTAAGACCATGTTGTAATAGAAAAATAACTTATGATATTAATAGAGAGTTGAGAAAATTCATATGATACAAGTAAATATGTATGTACAATAAAACGAAAATATCAATGAGTGAAATCATGCGCGGTTTAGAATTGGCGAGCCGGCGAGCAATCTTGTGCACATACACATTTCATACACTTCCTCATAAAACAATAAATAAATCAGTCATTTCTTTACTTATATAGTACCTAATATAATATTAACCTTAACAATATTACAAATTATAACAAATCACAAAGTGCATAATTATGATTCCCCGCGGTGTTACGATTTTCTCACATTTAACAATTTCAAGTTTTAAAATAAAAATAAAAAGAATCAATAGTTAAAATCTAGGTCGGTTATAAAAGCCTAGATGCCTGTTCATGACCTGTATCAACACAAACTGTTGAAAACAATTTCAAACTGGTTGCAGCATACGAAATGCATGTGAAAAGCAATTAATACACCTGCGATTTTATTGTCGACGTGCGCATTGCCCTTGCCCGTCTCTTGCACGTATAGAAACGCACACGCCGGAACGAGAGTACAACCGCAACACGAAAAAATCGCTTGTAGTCGAGCGCGCAAGGTTATCAGATTAATAATTTGTGATCATGTTCGAGCCGCGAGTCGCGACGGGCAAAAGCGGCTCGCGTCGTGTATGAAATGCAACCGAAACAAGTTTTCGTATTCGTGTCGGGGAATCATCTCGCCGTTCTTGTGGCTCTCGTGTATGTGTGTATGCGTGCCGCGCCGCTGAGAGCCGCTGCTCGGATTTTGAAATATGAAGCTAACTAATATAAACATTAATCAGACTACTTCAATCTACAGTCCGAATATTGACAAGTATATCGAATGGAATACCAATGCTTCTCCGACTTGCGAGAAACGATTTTTTCGACGTTTTTGTTCGGCTCGTTTTGAAATGCTTCGAGAGCTTCGAGTATCCTTCTCACAATAGAGGTACACAGTTATAAGATTTCTTTTTTCGTTACAATAATATATTTATTTTTCGTTATAATGAGAATGAGTGTTCGGAATGAGATTTAAATAATTTCGCTTTGTTTCTTTTATGGACTTAATTTCTCGTTTGCATATTGCATAATCGCGTACGTTACTTCTTCATATTAATTCTTTGATTTATTTCGTTTTGCTTGATGTCTTGAAATTAAATTTACAAACGTTAGCATCGTAAATGTATTTGCGTAGATATTCTAGTTATCTTTTTATATTTCTTCTCGTATTAATTTAATTAAATAGATTATTTATACATGTACACGTTGCGCATCCAGCTAACTATTTCCATATTTTACATATATCGCCAAAGAATGGTATGAATAATATATTTGGAGTAATTTTAATCATTTTATGTACAAAATGTTATCCTATTCCAGGGACGTGAAAATGGTGGCCCCATGGGCTGATGCACGTTGAACAATGTTAATTCTTGGCAGCAATAATATTGATACGATATTGTGAAGTACGCATCATACATTTATTACCCACGGCGATGAACATTTCCAGTTTTTCGCAACTCCAGTTCGAATTATGCACTCGTCGCATGTTCAGTTCACTTACATTTCGGTTGCATTTGATTAGACTAGTTTTTTACACATTTACACATACAGCAATACGTCCTTTGTTGCGTTATCTTCTCGCACGCTTCCTCCACCCACTAATTTTAGACTTCATGCAGATGACCGATACGATAGCACCAAATTTTCAAAATTTTACGCGCAAATATTTCTGCTCTTCATTTATCTATTCTCGTTTTGGCGTTTGTTTTAAATATAGTTTTAATAACTTAGGAACTTTATTTGTATACACTGCGCGCATGTTTTACGTGGTTGTCATCGATGTCGTCGCATTGCTGGCGGAGCTGCCGGTGGCGGTTGAGGAAGCGGCGTCGTTTGCTGCCGATGATAGCTTTATGCAGTCGCTGCTATGTCGTCACACCTGAACGTTTTGCGCGTGTCTGTCGGCGGCGTCCGTTGGCGATGTCGCGTTGTTTGCTTGCGACGGCACGCCGTAGAAGGCGACGTCGTGCGGTCGGCATGCGTGCGTTGCTGCCGCAGGCGGCTCAGCCGGCGTCGGCGGTTCACTGGCACCAGGCGTCCGCTCGTTCACGGTACCCACAACGGTCATTATTGGTTGGAAACCTGCAAACAAAGAATGCCACTCATAAATAAACAGCAGATTAAATTCATTTTTCATTTTCCATGTCAGAACTAACTTTATTGCAGCATTGATTCAATACCACCGTGAAATTTGAGTTTATTGAGCAATAAGGAAGCGCTGATTATTCCAACGCAATTGAAAGATCGTTCGGATAGTGATTAAAGCATTCGCCAGAATTGGAATAATTTGAATTTTTTTGTTGGTTTCAATTTCAGAGCGAATGACTTCCCTATTTACGTATAATTACGATCGCTGTCGTTTATTGTCTGCCACGCGGCGTGCATGTTTATGTCTCGCGTGCACGTCGGGCATAACGAGAAGGACATAAATGCAGCGGCATGAATCGAACCTTGTTGGCGGCGCGGAAGGTTTACATCAGGTTGAAGTCCGTTAGAAATAGATGCTACTAAAATGTCTAATGCGAACGCAACTTCACATTTATGTTTATGTTTTTACAGGAACGAGGTAAATTTATGTTCAATCTTTCTTTGTAGGTACCTTGGAAAAGTACTAAGTTGTTTTATGCTCGTCACATGCGAAACGGAAATATAAAATTTACCTGAATATTCAGAGAAATCCTCGACCAATTTATGACGCCGAATGGATGATGAACCGGTGATCATGTTATCAATGGCGTTGCCGGAATGATGTCTGCATCGCCAGAAAATTAACGCCAACAAGATAGAGAACAGCAAGATGGCAGTACACGTGCCTAAGATGATCTCGGCGTTGTGCCATTTGTGCCTCGTGTTCTCTCCCTTAACGGCGCTTACGAGCACAGACAACAACGGAGAGTTGAAGTCGACGTCTTCACGGTTTTCTCCTGGGATAATATTGAGGTCTTCCTGGCTTTCAGTGCTGACTTTCTGTGCTCTACCGGTATCCAAATCCATCATTTCAGACTTCAAATTCTCAACGCCAGGCATATGTGAAACCAGCTCAACTTGAATGTGATAAATTGTATCAGGCCAAAGCGACAGAGTCACGCAGGTGGAGTCAGTAAACAGATTGCCCTTCAAGCCGCCTCCATCAACTTCCCAGGTTACAAGGTATACACCTCTGGTTGTCTTTGGTTCCCAAGCGATTTCGCCAATAACCAGAACCTTCTGATGGATCAAAGACACTTCCCTCAACACCCACGGGGCATCGACATCACTTAGAATACTTTTCGAGGTCGTAGCCTTGATTTCTGTGTTAATACTCTTCTTGCGCTTCTTGTTCTCACGCACGCTAATTTCATCTGGACTGTAGATTGTTACCAATCCTTGTGGGTCAACAACAAGCACTCTCAGCATTGCACCTTCGGCATTCATGGGCACGCGAGTGGTCAAATCTAGCGTTTGAATGATTTGTCGCCATGGACCCGAGGCGCTTTTCCTCATAACGACATATACGAGCGGTGTAGTCAGACTGACGGAAGTGGGACGGGGCCATTTTGCAAGCGCACCGTTCACCCTTATCACGCCTTCGCCTTTGGTGTGGATGACCGGCTGGGTTTGTTGAGCTCGCGTCGATGCCTCGGCGTGGAAGCGGCATGCCTCCTGACAGCCTGGAAACTGTAACGTAAAAAAAAAGGAAACTCGTTAGGAACCTGTGTCATAAAAGATAACCGTCCAAACTAAAACGATGTCACTCAGTTTGATTAAAAGCCTAGTCAGCAAAAATGTGGAAACTCTGGAGACGCTACAAACTTATAAATTTGGATGACAGTTTCATAGACGATTCTTTTTCTTTAATTCGCTTGATTTATTCCGTCCGCAGTCGTAGAAATTTCTTTAAGTTGAATCATAGCGCATAAAAAAAATAAGTTCATGCCAGACGAGATGAAATCAACGAATGGAAATCTTATTTCGCTAATTCAGTTGATGACTCCTACACATTTTCCTCGTCGATTGTTAATCGGCATAGTTCCAATGATGAACTTTTATAGTCTCGTGCGCGGGAGTCTAATAGTTAGCAAGGCGTCTCTTTGTTAAATGGAACGTTGAATTGGAGTTAATAAACAGTCTAGCGAATGAATGTACAGTTATCTAACTATAGAATACGCTACGCGATGCTCTCCGGCGGAGAATTATAGTGGTAGTTGTGTGTAGCACCAGCATTGCAGACCGGGAGCCGTAAGGAACGGAACAGAGTAGACAATATTAAATTAAAGCCATTAATCTTAGCCGGGGCGACTTCCTCGCGAATTATGCACACATAGCGAACACCAACTCTGCGTGCATATACACACACAAATATTTCTGATATAGTAAAAATACTTACGCATATTTCTCGCTCTTCGCACATGGCACCCCATACTTGGAAGTTCGATTGCAAAAGTTCGCAATTCTCCCAACACTGAAAACAAATAAAACCAAGGTTTAGTTAAGAAAATATATCGAATTGCTTATACAATGTGTGGAGAGTTTAAGAAAATATGGAATGTCCATAGATTTTAAACTATTTTCATGCGGAGAACATTCAGAATTGGCTGTTAGCACATAGTCCTCGCTTACACTTCGTTTCGTAGTTTCATAGCGATTATATACTCGTAAATAAATTGCGGTTCATTACGGCACAAACAAACAATGTGAAAGTCAATCCAGGCGGGTCAAATTCTGAAATTGCGAATATGAGGTCGGAGACGCTCATAGATGCTCGTTTAGTGCGGTATAAAGTATATGAAACCCGCTCATTATTATGTATCCAGGCATGTTATTTACCTAAGCGTATTCCTTGCCCGAGTCGCGTTGGATTTTAACAATCGACAGCCCCGACACAGGACCGATTCAGTTCGGTTAGTGCAAAAAAGCGACGTAAAATGAAAGGTTGTGCTAAAGTAGTTTCAAGCACAAAAGCCAGACGAAAGATCACGAGGATGCGAGATAACGCATTGTTGTCTCGCCCAAAGACGATGCCGGCGACTGCCAAAGAAACACTATAACTTTCTGAACCAAAAATGCTAGTTTGTGCAATTGTACCTACTGCATAATATTAAATTCAATTTAACACTAACAGTTTACTACGTGCCTCTGATGCATTTTGCTTCACATCACTTCAGCAAGTTGAGTTTGCATCATATAAGCGGATTTCCTAATTGAAATTACATGTTCACGTTTCGAATCCCCACAGGCAGGCAAGCGAAGGAGCGAGATTAAGCTGATTACGATATGATTTTTCTCTGCGACGCGTTGCTTGAAACTCTTTAATTGGATTCCGTGCGCATTGTGCCGTTTGAGAATGACATGAAAAGGTCGTCATCGTTCTCACCATCAACGACACAAATCCCAAAAGTGCTCATCGCTTAAAAACACTTTGGAACAGCACGAAAGCGAATGTATTTTTCTAATCCGACATTCATTAGACACTACAGCATAGGAAGTCACGGGAAAAAGAGTAGAAATAATACGGAAAGTGCATTAACATCGACAGCCAACTCGTGAGTTCGACATTTCCATCCTGGCTGCCTCTGTGAACTAACATATGTGTCTATCGGTGCGAGTTGAATCCATCGAATCCGGCACTTGGTCCGTAAATTAAATAAAAGTGAAATTATAGTACGCGGAATGATTACGGGCAGGTAGTGTTTAGTATTTTATAACCGCACTAATGATAGGCCAAGCGAGCCGGAATATTCGCGTTCGCGCTGCCCGTCGCGGTCGGTTACTTCGCGTTTTCAGCGCTTTCGCGAAGAATTATGGCTGGATATTACAAATCACAGGCTATATTTTCGCTATCTTCGTGCAGTCCGGCCACGACTCGTAGCGCTCGAACGCCGGCTAAAGTAAGCAAATCTTTCCGCGCGCAGCGCTTTAATGATCGCGCTCGTAAATCACATTCGGAAATTGGCCTACGCGCAAAGATTTACGGCGTAAAAATTATTTTCGCGTTGTGTCATCAATGTCATCACGAATATTCCCGGCGTTTTCAGTCACATTTTTAAAATCCAATGAAGCGTATTCATTTGTAGAGCGATGACATTGTTAGCTATGCTCCGCGATGTTCAGTAATGCAATGTCCGGTTGAGTTTGTTGAGCACACAGAAACTGGTGTTATCCATCCAGTTGCATAGTCTTCGTCCATTGGGAGGGTTGGATTTTGCAAATGGCGCTGATGTGTTGGATATGTGGGGATTTGTGTAAAAACGTTGAGCGTACGCACGCGGCACAGGGAAGGACAATTTATTCATTGGCAAACTGTCGGCTGTTATTACGTCGTGTTTGCGAGGAGTGCACAAGCGTCCAGGACGCGCAAAATACATCGATATGTGCTCATGCAGAGCACGAGGGTGAAAAACATGAATACCTATATCCCACGCCTAATGTACGGTGGGTAACTATTCCCTTGTGGAGAAATATCGGTTGTTTTAATATTCTTGGACTACAGCTGAAGTTTAGCAGGAAGAATTTCTTAAATTGTGGTCCATTATGTCATCTTTTAATATATAAAGTGTTAGACGAGGTGTGAAAATGAACGCCTTTTATAAAAACTTATCGCATAGAAATCAGGTCTTAGAATTAACGTCAACACCTGGATGATGTGGTTCATGCGTATCGTCACGTTTATAACTTATAAATGTGTTAGAATTCAAATGCTTTCGAGTGTAAAATTGCCAGCACTTTCCATAAAACGCTTGTGTACCTCTTCAATTATATTATGCAGCTGCACTTTACCTTTGTGCACCTTTATATAAAATTAAATTTAATACAAAATAAGTTCCAGCAACAAACAATAAAATTTGAGCAATTGTTTTGTCTAACCCGGTTTATTTGTAATTAAATTAACAATTTACATATGAGGGTATAAATGAAATCGGGAATGTCACAAAAACAAATCACGACGAACCCACAAGCAGTATGGTTGTCATTGTCTGAAAAAGTGAATGAAGACTATGAAGAACAATGTGGGTATTATTAAGTGAAAATTCAATTAAGAGCGCCTTAACAATGATGCATCGCTCATGGTGACGCAAAGCTTTTTCTGGTAATAATTTTATTAAAATCAATTGGTCTATCAATTACCACCAGGCACGTTCCACACACTTTCCTCAATTGATGCGACAATTTTATAATGAAAGAAAATGCACTTAATTTTCCCTGCATATTAATCACAGAACCCGAAAAGTGACGCCGTTTTTATCACAACCCACAAAATCCCTACTATATTAAAATCGCGTTCCGGCAGTCGTCGGCAATGTCGCCCATTTTTTGAAGAGGGTAAAAATAGAAAATTTAATTAAAAAATGTACATTACGGCGACATCGGGTCTTGATGTTTTGGCTCGAGGGGGTTGATAACAATTCGCTTTTCTATGTATAAAGTTTTCGTCCCTCTCCCAGTTGCGCACCACCCTCGGCAAGCACATCGCACGACGAGGAACAGAATTTCATATCCACGAGGCACGATGGTAAAGTTGAAGATAAGGTATAGGGTCGCCGAATGGCAAAGTATTATCTCCAAGTCTGACTGTATCACGCGAGAGGATAAATTATCCTCGGGACACGCAAGGACGGCCGTGCCGCGACGCCCTTTGCATTCTGCAATAAAGCCTTGGCCGTGTCGGTCTACGCCATGTGGAGACATCGAGTCAGGGCCAAGGAATAATACCGTGAAATGAACGACTACAGTCTAGACTTCTACCCGGATCTACTAGAAGAGAATACGCTAGCATGGATTGTATGTTGCTGCGATCATTGGTTGTATCTCTTGGTATCAGCTTCAACTGTCGAGTGTGAGGGTGGGCGAGCAAGAGTATGCGACTATAGAAAATTCGTTTATTTAATTACACACTCGACTGGGCAATACTCACACGCATCTCTTCGCCGCGTCCGACCCGATACACGTTACTTTTTTGTGTGTCGACCAATTCAGTAAAGCTTCCACTGGAAATTCCGATTTCGAAAAATTTAACTGCAAAACTGGTGATAAAAATCCAAGCACGTTTGTGCTGCCGCATGCATTTTTACAGCGAAACAAAAGATTCCCAAAAGATCAGGGCACATTTAGGATGCGTCCCAGAGGTTGAAATCGAGTTAGACTTTCCCTCCTCTATTTTTCACGGTTTCCTGGTACAATCGGGGCCATGATTTATGCGTCAAAAATATGCATGCACCATATTCATAAATCGTCTCTTGAACAGAAAACAAATTTCGTTTAATGCTCAGATCTGTACCTCCGGTTTACGTAAAAATGCATGAAAATAGAATAAAACAAAAACTGTCTTAGAACTATTTTTAACGCTGCGACAACTTGAAGGTTGGCGATTTATTGGCCAAGGGGAACAAAGTGCACTGTGAGCTAGACCTTGGTGACGAAAGTCGATAAGCAACTGGAACAGACTGCAAAGTAGTGAAATGGCGACATGGCACTTGTATTGTTGTCGTCTGGAAATATTCCCCTTGCCAAGAAGAGAAAAAATATTTTACAATTGACTTTCGGTGACAATTTATGGGGGTGCACAGCCATTTGGAGCAATTCCAGCCACCATTAGGAATCAACATGTCACCAAAATGGCTCAACGCATCAGGAAGGAAGAAATGCAATGAGGAAGCGACGAATAGAGAATTGAACCCCGCCGAGTGTTGATCTAGGCAGGGCGAACGGAAGAATAAAAGGAATTCTGCTACTATTGAAAGGCACATAGTTAGCTATTAATTTCTTTACGTAAATGACATTTGGGGTAACTTTCCCTGAACCAGCATCATGTGCACAAACAGTTTGACTATCAATTTGTCAATATAGTCAAATAGTGTCCAATTTTATTGCAGTTTACTTTCCAAACACCTCTAACAGAGAAAGGGCTTCAATAAAGTTTATGATCTGTACGTAAATATAGAGCAATCAAGTGCGACTCCAGTTTGACACTGCACACCCGAGTTAATTAGCTATAATAAAAATTTATTGACCCCCACACAGAAGACGCAAGAAGCAATTTCGAAGTCGTTCTGCTTTGCGAGCAAAGCGTAGCAGGCATTTTTGTCGCGGCGTTTTCGTTAGAGTCGTAAATCTTTCGAACAAATTTTTATTGCGTTTTCTTCTACGCCTAGCAAGCACTACGCTGACACTGTGCTAGGCGACACATGACGCCACGAGACATGAGTAAAGTATCTACGTATAACTTTGTATGACAAAATGACAAAAGTTTTTACTGCCAATTGCGATCTCCTGGTATCAAGCATAGCGCTTATGTTGGATAATATTGCCTCATATTGCACACAAACTATTCTCATAATTCCGTTTTATTCTTTCAAGTATTCGTTCATTCATTGAATTGTGAAAGTTTGATGAACTAATCAAATCAATACAATTATAATACAATTCTACGAAAAAAGAAAAATAAATCTTGAAAGATTTATTTGTGCTTGAGCACTGGTTTGGCATTTTGTGCTAACATTGCAGGGTATGAATATCACCACCCACCAACTCAAGGTATTCATGTACATAATACGATAAACCTATATATGCGAAGGTGTGTGCGGTAACTGCACGAGCAAAGCGAATTCGCTGAACATTCAGCACTCGAGCCGATCATTCGAGGATCGACATCGCCCTGACCTCACGGCGATAACCGCCGGACACAATAGACACATTGTTATGACTCTCCGACGCTCTTGTGACTCGACGAAATTGTGATGACTGGACGAAAGGAGTCGGGAATACATACCTACTTGCGAACTTCGGATTCAATTTACGTAGCTTTTTTGGTTGAACGAAACCGACAGACCGCCGGCGACGACACGACAAGAAAGTGTGTGCGATAAAATAATGTGGTCGAAAGTTGGCAACTTTACTCGGAGGCGCAAGAATGTGGGACGCCAGCGACCGACAGTCTGCGTTGTGTGAAGGTTGGATCAATAAAACGGGAAAATTGCATTAAAGTAAACCACATCGTGGAGGCAAGCGCGATGTTCTGAAGTTCAACGTAGTACGCGAAAACAAGCGGAATGGATCGAATAAACACCCGAAAATACAGTAAGACAATGAAGAAATGTTGAATCAGGTCTGGATTTCAGACATTAATTTTCAACAAAATGTAATTTGGAAACCATTCCTCTCACAAGTACTCGTACTGAAAATATAAACTATATCCATCCGTTTGGTTGGATCTTCTCAACATAATGAGGGTGCTGGAAGCATAGCACTACGCTACATTCACTTCGTTTGCGTTCCATTGCAGTTATAAATTTTGCGCGGCCACCCCAAAACACATCGGCTATAATACAGCTCCATAAATAACGATTTCGCTAAATTTCATCCGGTTTTGCGTCCGTTCACGTTTCGTTACATTCGCACCCGGTTCGCATCCCTCTTTCTCCATACACATATAGAGCCAATGAAAAATGCGAATGAAACTTTTTTGTTCCGTCTCAAGTTTTACCATAACTCTAAAACAAGACGCCAAAAACCTGAACCAAACAAAATGCGATTGCATTCTGCACTCGCTGCTGGTTTCTGTAGTTCGGCAGCTTTTTGCGTACTTTCCAACTACAGCGCAAAACTTTTCGAGTTTTGCTTTATGCCGAAAAGACGGAAGAGCGCATCGCGGGAGGAAGTGCAGCCGTCATTTCCTCGTCGTTCATGTCGTAACGCGCGAGTTAAGACGTGAGTTGAATACGTGTCCTATATTTGTATTTCGCCTAGTGTGCGAATGACAGCGAAAGGAAAGCAGAAAATGATACTCACCATGAAGCAGTCGGGTCCCTGAAGGCACATGGATTCGCCGTTCGGTCCGTCGAACGAAAACTGCAACGGAGAACGTTAAATATTAGATGTATGCAAATGGAACTTGATAGAAATATATGTGGTGAGTAGATAAATGTATTCAAAAATGTTCGCAAAATACATGTAAGTAAAGTCTTATCTGCAGAGATAAGAAAATGGCAACTTTATTAAAGTTTCAAATCCAATTTGAATAATGTTAAGAATTGCGGGCGAATTCAAGATGTTTTCAACCTGATTCATAGTTTTCTACTTGTTTCTGATGTAATTATGATCATCTTGGTCTACACGCTTTTACAATTCGTGTAATTGTTCAGTTATTGTAGTTTAGAACGAAATTTTGATTCGCGATACACTTTTTTTCTGTGTGCACACTTTAATTATAACAACTACAACGGTGTTCATCTTGGATGTGCACTAGAATCGTGACGATCGAGGTCAAATTTGTCTGAGCGCGTGAATCTGCGATCACGCCTTACCAAGTGCGCGGCGAAACTAAAAGTAAAGCGCAACCAAACAAAACACAAAGAGACGATCCGAACATACAACAACGTACTTAGATAAAATAACAATTTCATTTATCATAATTACAAATCGTAAATGTGAACTCACAAGAATGCGCGCGAGAACCATAAATGTCGAACAGTCGTATCTTTTGCTTTTATGCGCCCAGCAAATTGCGTGGACAAAGCAATTTGGTAAACACTCCAAGTATCATTCGGAAGGACAACAATTCCTGCTGGATTAGGACATTTCTCAACGAGTGTCTATACGACACAAGCAACTAGTATAATAAAGCAGAATTCCGAAATATACACAACAAATTTGAGAACCAACAGGAAAATAAAAATAGTCTACAAATATATTGCTCATGCAAATGTAAGTATGATGTATGTGTGCATACATGCGATGGGCATAAATTCACAATGCGAAGCGGTGCGCACGCGACGCGGTGGTTTTTGCACGCCCGCGAGTGTACAGCACAGGACATAAAAACGCATCGCAGCTGCGGCGGAATTCATTAGGGTGACATTTCAACACGCCCAAACTATTCCGGCCATTATGCCTCCCGTCGACGTATTGAGAAATATGAATACTAATGCGACTTGAATTGATGTCGGGCGGCGCGCTCTGTTTGCACTCAGTCTTTCTTCGACCGCAAACCAGACAACATGAAGGGCACACCAAAATGCTGCAGCGTCAGAATGGATTTGCATCTTTTAGCGGCCGGTTCGCGACCGATTTCTTCAAGCCTTTGTTATTCATTCTGTCTCACGCCGTGAATGCAGATAATTGCGACTTCTAATGATGTTTTTCTGGGTCTGATTGAATTCGTTTTTACAAAGCGAGAAAATTAATTAGAATCATTATCAATCCGACAGTTGAAACATTAAGACAATGGAATCTATGTGATGATTATGCTTGGATCGTCCAATGCTTTAAAGTAAAGTGTTCAAAGCAAGTTGCACAAGCCTGCAAGGTTGAATGCGGCCGTCAATGCCTTGAGGGTTCCTTCATACACAAGGGAGGCTTTGATAATCGGTTATATCGCTTCTAGGTGGAAAATCTGTTGCGACCGTGTTCTGGAACGATGAGCTACAAAGGATGAGCGCATATGTCGCTAATATCATCCGCTGGGTTTCCTCTGAGGATACGGCCCTATCCAAATGCCAAATCCAAATCTGTTGTTGTATATACCCAGTCTCTTTGATGATTCAGTCCTGTTCATACTCAAGTTGAATCAATCTCGGCCAAATCCACATCATAAAAACATATAATTGAAATTATCAGACGTGTGAACCACTTCAAATTTTAAATATCGACCAGATCGTGTTAAACTCGTTAAATTATTTGCTTTGATCTCCTGTGCTTACATCCCCCCAATGACCATATACATATCTCGCATCCGCTGCGAAAGCAAATCCACTTTTTTCCGTATATTAATTTCAGGGTGCGAGTGTGGGGATCGACATAGTTGATTCGGGGGGATAATGGATTCGCGGATTGCCACGAGCGGACTCGGGCTTTATTAAACCCGCCTGGACCATTTGAATTGTTAATGGCATGCCCATCCAAAAGCCTCCCAAAAAAGGTCAAACGATGTGCTCACACTTCGCGCTCTAGGCACTGCGACAGCGCTCGCAGAGAAAAGGGATGAAATTCATGCGTGCGAATGCGAATACACGCGCGCCCATCTGCGAAAAGCTTTTACTTTACTCTCCTAGCAGCATTTCAATGTGAGGGCAAACCCAGACCCCAACGTGTTTCATGGAAAGAGAGAGAGAAGACTCTTTTGTAAACGAATTTACGACGAGCGATTTCGCTTCTCCAAAAAGTTTCTCGTCGTATAAAAGCCTATTACACACCGGCTCTAACTTAAATACTTTTCTGGTTGCTTGCGTTGTTTCACTTTTTTGTAGTCTCCGTTACTTCAAATTATTATTATTTTAAGTCTACAGCTTTGGTAGTTGCCGTCGAGACAGCGCGCGCGTGTTTACATTAATTTGTGTGACATTCCATCGTATCATTAACATTTAATGTGCATTATACCTTAAAGGTATCAGCTCCCAGACGCCGGGTAGCGAGTGTATATATGCAGAGGTCAACTCTTCCTTGCCCGACACAATAGCCGACTTGTGCGAATGTAAATCAGCAGACAAAACAAGTTTCCAATTTTTCAGTGCAACGTTTTCATTAGTAAATCAACCGTTTTTGGACGCCTATCGCGCGTTGGGAATCCTCACTTCTCGAGGGGATTAACAGCGGAATCTAGTTAGGCGTTTCCAAGGAGACGACGCCGTCCGTCCCCTAGGATAATTCGGTTTCCTTACGAAAACCCACCCGGCATTGTGTCTGCACCGCTTGCCTTTCCCACCTCGTGTCGTGTCCTCTGTAAACTTTTCCGCCCTACATTTTACTCCTTTTCGTTTTGCTTTCGCCAACCTGCCAGCCTGAAGCTGCGCGAACACCGGCGCTAACGTAGTGGTGACGTTCGACGCCAGTGCCAATATACTTAGACATAAATATCGTTCGATCAACGTGTAAGTCAACACTTTGGCAGAACGTCGAAGCATGGCAGGTCGTCGTAGCCGAGATTGTTGATACATCGAATTACCCACCACCTTCCTTATATATCTGCAGCGCAACTCGTTTAGAGTTTGAGGGTGAGCCTTACTATTCTCGACAGCTTCCTTGCTGTTGTTCACTTTATTAAATTGGCAAACTTCCAGCCATTCTCTAGTTGCGTTATCATATTGCCAGAATGGGGAGCGAACATCCAACGACACGTAGTGCACACATGTTCATTTGTGTCAAAAATATCCGAGGGTCCACCATCAGAAGATACGTTTTCCAAATATTTAACCTGCTCTATAAGAAATTTACAACAGCTTTGACATAACAAAATTCGCTTAAATTTTCTTGATGTTTTTGTTCCTGCTTTGAAGTAATTTTCAGCCCAACTTTGAAGCTGAATCCCTCGATATCCATTCGGATAGAAGCTAGTAGGGTGAGTCACGAAATTGCATTCTGCACGGTCAGTTACCCTTGAACAATGTGCACAAATGCACAAGTGACGCTGAAGGATCAAAGCTCAAAGGACGATGCAAACGTGAGCGGCATTCGTAAACGAAATCAAGCGATCGAACGGGAATTTGATTGATGGAGAGTCCCCGCGCGAGTTTAACGCAGCGCGCGCGCGCATCGAGGGAAAGATGCGAATGGTTGGCATGGGTCTGTCAATGTTCAAAGGTGTCCGAGGGGACGCTGCTCCAATTCACGTCTATAAGAATGTCCTAAAGTACCTCGGAACTGTGCGGCCGAACAAAACCCTCTCGCATCGCTGACGGCACTCTTCGGATGAGCCGAACGAAAACGAGCGACGTAATTACAAGGGTTTTGACGATTATAACAGCGCGGATTCCCATTAACATGCTAATACGCGTTCGCTCGCTCCGGGTTCGGAATTCATTAGCGCACTGGACTCATCCACTCGATGTCTGGGTGCCAATGGCAGACTGTGGCCGAACCGAAGGGCAGTAAGTACGAGCAAAGAAAAACCAACATTCATTCCGATGGCCCCGTCTGGCACTTCACAGACGTGCACAGTCGGACGTGCGCATCCATCGATTCGTCGGGTTTCGTTTCTGACAAACCATTGCTGATGGCGATGCCGCGAAGCACAATATCCGATATTATCGACGAGGCGGTTGATTGAAGCGTACGTTTAACGCACGAAACGCGAAACCACAACAATTTATAGCCTCAGCCGGCGATGGTCGGCCATCGAGGGAAACTAATATCGCTTCCTCAAGTCCCAGTCGTGCCCAGCAGGCCATGCACATTCAAAATGGCGCACGGATATTTTATATCATCTACTTTAGCTTCTCTTCTAAACTTCCAGTAAATGTTACAAAAAGACTAATCACGAACCGCAAATTAGAGTGGACAAAGAATAAACGTGTCGGGAACCACTTTATTTTTTTTTTCTGTCGTCAGGCTTATGCAGAGCGAGATTAGTTCAAAGATGCGCGCTGCAGTATTGTTTCTTAGTAGAGTGTTGAGACAGTAGGACGGTAAAAGCCCAAAAGACAATAATGCTCGCGTCTCGGCGTAATGCTTGCGTCTGCGTTCAGTTTGTCGTTTATTGTAGAGCTGGCAAGTCAAATACATAGTAGAGAAACGAACTTAAAGGGAACTTATTCCCATATTCATGAGCAATGAACAAAAGGAAATCGCGCGAAATGTACAGCGTTGAAAGGAATGTACGGCAAGACAGAGAAGATCCAATAATAAACGTTATTTATCATGGGATATAGGCCATTCAGGCAAAGAAGAAGCAAAAAAAGACGACGCGAAACGCCGACTTTATTATATTTATCAGACGAAATATTGTGTATTCAATGTAAATTCTTCGTGAATTTTGTATTCGCTTCTTGCCGAGCAAGCAACATCTAGTTGTATAGCAAAATCACATTTGTACATTGTTTTTATTCATAATCCTACATGTATCCATTTATATTAAT